ACCCCCCTCCCACCCCTCCTACAAAGCGGGGCAGAGCAGAGAGTACAGATGAACTGATGTCTTTTCTTCCTTCTTCCTTAGTTCTGAGCCTGTCATGATGTGGCTTAGAGTATCACAGCCGAAATGTTTTCAAAATGTAAAATGTGGAAATACCTTTTGTTTATATGGGGGAGAAAAACTTTAGGTTTAAAATATGTTTGTCAGCCAACTGATTTTTAAAAGCCTTTAAAAAAAAAAAAATCGTTCCCTTCCTATGAGGAAGACTTGAGGGGAGAGTTTGTGGACGTTCATTTGTATAAAACCCCCAAATTCTTGTTGATAATATTTCAGCCTGAACATTTTCAGACCTGATCAAAGCTTGGCTTATTCTAATTTCTGTATTGAAAAGGTTTGAGTAACTAGTCTTATTAACTTGTGTGTATCATATGTTTGTTCACCTAAAGCTTTTTAATCCAAATAAAAATGGAGTTTGCAAAATGATTTGGGTTAACCAGGCTTGGATGTTCTGTTAAAAGCTTATGTCAGATGTTAGTTTCAAGCAGGTTCAACTCTGCCCGCCCTGACTTCACGCTGGTGAGGGGACACAGCAGCCGCTTTGAGGGGCCGAAGGCGGCTGGCTCATTGGGTGATGACAAAGGTCAGTGTTTGGGACTCGGGCTGCAGTAACCTGGGTGCTGAGTGCAGCCCGTCAGATGCAGGTCCAAGCGGACTTCCTAAGGGTGGGGGGTGCCGCCATTCAGTCGGTGTGCCCGTGTCCAGAAGAGAAGATGCCCCTGGCGTGTCCTAACGTGTCTCAAAGCTCTCACTGCACCTGCATGTGTCTTTAAACTGTGGTGGTGGGTGGTGACTGCACTTTTTGTAATCTGTTTAACCCACCGAACTGCATGGTGTGCGGATTCTATGTCAATAAAACCATGACAGCAAAACACGCCCCCCTAGACCAGGGCTCCTCAGACTTTGTAAACAGGGGCCAGCTCACTGTCCCTCAGACCCGTTGGAGGGCCGGACTAGCTTAAAAAATAACTGAACAAATTCCTACGCACACTGCACATATCTGATTTTTCATTAAAAAACAAAAAGGAAAAAAAAACAAACCACTTGGCGGGCCGCACATGGCTGGCCGTAGTGTGAGGACTTTGGCCCTAGACGCTTTCCTAGAGAGTGCTGGTAGAAACCCATGCTTCCCTCTCCGAGCGCCTGGGCTAGCCTGGGCTGCCGTCTCTGTTCCTGAGCACCAGGACTACACTGTGTGCAGACCCAATGCTGAATGTGACTGTCCGTCTCCAGTGTGGAAATGTGCCAGACCAGCTGGAGAAAACAGGACTGACCAGTAGGCTGGACCAACCCCCAGTCACGTGGTATTTGGTGAGTAGTACATGGACTTGATGGCTCTACCACTTGCCTGTCCGTTTGGAAGAACGGGGTTCCCAGGGCACTTTGTGGTGCTCACAAGGAGCACCGGACATGGACTGAGGCAGTTGTGCGAACTCATGGTTTAAGATGAGCAGTGTGTCAGGGCTGTGTCCTCTCACCACACTTGGTCAACGCTGAGCAAAGCAGCTGGATTACGTGAAGAATGGGGTTGGAGGAAAAAGGCCTATTAACCTGCCGTATGCAGGTGACACAACTTGGCTTGCTGACGGTGTCGAAGACTTACGAAGACCAAGGATTGTACCTTCAAGATGGATTGCAACTCAATGTAAAGACGACCAAAACCCTCGAGAATAACCATGTAACTGGAGAAGAGGCGGTCATCAGTCTGGTCTTGCTGCAGGGGCCAGTCAGTGCTCCGGAAGCAGCAGTCGGGGGATGAAAAGACACACTGCACAGGGCCTTCTTAAAGGGAAGAGCAGGGCAGGGGAGTTCTTTTGAAGCTTAAGAAACGCCTGGCCCGTGCCACGTGTTCCCTGACCGCCCAGGCACGTGGAAGCTGGGCACTGACTAGGACGCCACACAGCAGCATCCATGTGTTTTTGAGTCGCGTTGCTCAAGAAACATTGACAGTTGCTCGTGGACTGACCCGAGGACCAATCTGCCCTGGAGGAAGTACAGCCAGAGCACTAGGGTGGCAAGACTTCTCACGGAGTCCAGTTCCTGAAGGGGAGGGACATCGTGCTTGGTCAGCCAGAGGGGCAGTGAAGGGGGAGGCCCTCCACGAGATGGCCTGACAGTGGCTGCAGCGACAGGGGTAGCTGAGGATGGCCCAGGACCCAGCAGTGCTCCCTTCCCGTGTGCGGTGTCACCAGGCGTGAGAACCAACTCAATAGCACCTGACGGCAGGTGGCACTGCTTGGGGAAAGGACATCAAAAAGCACTGCTCCGAGTTTGTTTATTAAACAAGAGTGAAGCTTCTGCTTCCAACATGGACCTCGCAGCCCTCTGAAGGCAGCGTCCTTCCCAGCTCCCGGAGAATGGGGTGCCTTGTGATTGACACATCAAAACGCAGTTTCGGCATCCTCAAAGGGTTCTGCAGTGTGTCTCACGGGAGCTCTTGGACTCCCTGCCCTGCAGAACCAGCAGGCACATCGTCATCGCCACCATGGGGCAGGGAATGCCCTTGGTGCCACAGCTATTTCCTAAAATGTCCTCGTACGTCCTCATGACCATCCTGTCTCCTTCAAGAAAACCCACCTGAGTTCCCCCCTGGGGGTCCCCACACGCCCCCATCATCACTGAGCAGGCGGCCCAGTCTCCTCAGAGCCCTGGTGGGTAGTGGTTCCGCTCTGGGCTGCTAACTGCATGGTCAGCCGTTTGAAACCGCCAGTCATCCCTCATGGAAAAGGAATTTCCTCCTGTAAAGCCACCCTCGGAAACCCACGGGTCGGCATTGACTCAACAGCAAGGAGTTTGGGGAGCATCTCAGAAGCCACTATTTTAATTGGACCGTTTAATGATCTGATGAGACTCACACTGAGCACGGTGTGTCCGCAGCCACGCAGAGGCCACAGAGATGTGCAGACGTGTCTTGTTTGGAGTAACCACTCCCTCGTCCGTGTGAACTGGAACCGGATTATTGCACTTCTTAGCTGCGTGTGTAATTCAAAAGGAGGCCAATCTGGTTAAGCTTTAACATCAGGCATTTAGGTGAGACGTTCCAAAACAGGACTGCTAGAGAAACCGTAACCATCCAGTTTATTATTGCTGTAAGAATGCACTGAGTAACATATACACCCCGTGTGCTTTCCTGACCAGCAGAGGCAGATTGAGAGCAATCGGTGTTAAATAGTTGTGAATCCAAAATAATTGCTACCTTTTAAAACCTGGGGTTCTCCTGTAGTTAAAAATGGTTTGCCTTGTTAGCAGGGTGGGCCCTGCTGCTCCCC